CCAGGTTTTGTACTTAGGTCTTTGATCCATCTTGAGCTTGTTTTTGTTTATGGTATGAGATACGGGTCTTGTTTCATTCTTCTGCAAATGGATATCCAGTTTTGCCAGCACCATTTGTTAAAGAGTTTCTCTTTTCCCCCATTAAATGTGTTTTAGCCTTTTGTCAAAGATCAGTTGACTGTAGGTGGATGAATTTACTATAGAGTTCTCAATTCTGTTCCACTGACCTATATGTACCACTACCAAGATATTTTATATGCTATAGTTGTATGGTAAGTTTGAAGATTGGAAAATGAGAGGCTTCCCACTTTGTTGTGTTTTTAGTTTTTTTTTTTAGTAATGCTTATCCAGGGTTTCTTTCCTTTCCATATAAAGGTGGTAATTATTTTTTCCATCTCTTTAAAGAATGATGTTGGGCTTTGGGTTGGATCGTTTGTTTTGGGTACTGTTGACATTTTCACAATGTTAAGTCTTCCTATCCATGTGTGTGGTATATTCTTCCTTTTTTTATAGTCTTTTTTGGTTCTTAATAGTAGTGTTTTTAAATATTTTATTGTGAATTATGTGATAGTTTACATGGGAGAACATTAGCTTTACATTCATCCTATCGTATATATCATTTCATTGCCATGGTTACAATCCCCTCCATACATCATCAACCAGCTAAAGGGTATACCTGCAAGCCTGTCTCCTGGTCATCAGCACACAGCCCCTCTCCCTCTCTGGGTCTAGAGTGCCCAGCTGCTCCATCTCTCCTCGTCATCATCTCTGCCTCCATCTCTGGTGTCACTGCTTCTCTAGGTAGGGTCTCGCACTCCGCTCTTCCCCCTTGATGGTTCCAGGGACCTCTACTCCTGGACTGCATAGTCAATCACTCCCCTCCTTTTGCTATAGAACGTCTGCCTTTACATTTCCAACCCTCACAGTCAGACCTGATGTAGTAGTGTTGTGTACGGGGTATTTTTGGTATATTTACTTTGTTTCTCTTGATAGATTTATTCCTAAGTATTTAGTCTTTTGGGTGGATATTGTAAATGGTATTGTTTTCCTGATTTCCTTATCAGAGGTCTCTTTATTAGTGTGAAGAAATCCAACTTATTTTTGTATATTGATAATGTACCCTGCCACTTTGCTGAATCTTTCAGAGACTTCCAATGATTTTCTTGCTGAGCCTTTTGGGATTTTCTGTCTACAGGATCATGTCATTTGCAAATAGAAAGAGTTTAATTTCTTCTTTGCCAATTTGAATGTCTTTAATTTCTATTTCTTGCCTTATAATGCTGGCTAAAATTTCCAGCACAATATTAAATAAGAGTGGTGATAAAGGGCATCCTTGTCTGATTCCCATTCACAAGGGGAATGTTTTCAGTTTCTCCCCATTGAGAGAAATGTTGACTGTTGGTTTTGTATGTTGTTGTCATTGTTAGATGCCATCGAGTCAGCACCGACTCATAACGACCTTATACACAACAGAACGAAACACTGCCCAATGCTGGGCCACCTCATAATTGTTGCCATGCTTGAGCCCACTGATGCTGCCACTTTGCCAATCCATCTCACTGGGGATCTGACTCTTTTTCTCTGACCTTCTACCTTACCAAACATGATATCCTTCTCCAGTGACTGGTCCCTCTTGACAATATGTCTGAAGTATGAGAGACAAAATTTGGCCATCTTAGCCTCCAAGGAGCACTCTGGCTGCACTTCTTCCAACACAGATCTATTCATTCTTTTGGCAGCCCATGGCACCTTCAACACTCTCCTCCAACATCATAACTCAAAACCATCAATTTTTCTATGGTCTTCTTTATTCACTGTCCAGCTTTCACATGCATATGAAGTTATTGAAAATACCATGGTGTGCGTCAGGTGCACCTTAGTCCTCAAGCTGACATCTTTGCTCTTAAACACTTTAAAAAGGTCTTGTGCAGTAGATTTGCTTAATGCAATACGTTGTTTGATTTCTTCACTGCTGCTTTCGTGAGTGTTGACAGTTGATCCAAGAAGAATGAAGTCCTTGACAACTTCAGTCTTTTCTCCCTTGATAAGAATGTTGTTTATTAGTCCAGTGGTGAGGATTTTTGTTTTCTTTACATTGACATCCAATCCATACCGAAGGCTGTACTCTTTGATCTTCATCAGTAAATATTTGTAAGTCCTCTTCACTTTCAGCAAACAAGGTTATATCATCTGCGTATCGCAGGTTGTTAATAAGTCTTCCTCCAGTCCTGATGCCACGTTTTTCTTCATAGACCCCAGCTTCTCAGATTATTTGATCAGCATACAGGTTGAATAAATATGGTGAAAGAATATGACCCTGTTGCATACCTTTCTTAATTTTAAACCATTCAATTTTCCCGTGTTCTGTTCGAACAGCTGCCTCTTGGTCCAGGTACAGATTCCTCATGAGCACAATTAAGTGTTCCGGAATACTCATACTTCACAACATTGTGCATAGCTTGTCATGATCTACACAATCGAAAGCCTTTGTGTAGTCAATAAAGCACAGGTAAACATCTTTCTGATATTCTCTGCTTTCAGCCAAGTTCCATTGGACATCAGCAATGATATCCCTCATTCCACGGCCTCTTCTGAATCTGGCTTGAACATCCAGAAGTTCTGTCAATGTATGCTTGCAGCTATTTCTGTTATAAAACTTCTACCTTTATAATTGTAATAGTTGCAATTAGTCATGATGGCAATTAGATTGAATCATAAGACTCTTATCCCCATCTCTTTTAACCAGATCCATCTAGAAAAGATGAAAACTATTCAATAGGGACTCTTTCTCCCACGCACACACACTATTAAATTAAGTTCCCCTTGAAACCTTGTAAGCCAGTCAATTTGTGCCTTTATCACCCCCTTATTTTTGGTAGCCAATGTCTAAGTTGCCTATCCCTATCTGCCCTGTTTACAGAGGAGATAGCAGTGATACTTGATGTGAAGTTTCCTTCCCTCTCTGTTGGTATTTAGAGTTACTACCTCCATGAGTATAGGTCAAGTTCATCAAATTGTAGCAATTTACCTTTGTTTCCTTTATCAAAAATTGCTTGTTTGTTTGTTTTTTATCTTCCTCTAGTCAAGTTCTTTAGTCAAGAGAACTTCCAGATGATCAAGCCAGATTCAGAAGAGGCCATGTAATGAGGGATATCATTGCTGATGTCTAATGGATCTTGGCTGAAAGCAGAGAATATCAGAAAGATGTTTACCTGTGCTTTATTGACTATGCAAAAGCTTTCGATTGTGTGAATTATGACAAGCTATGGACAACATTGTGAAGTATGAGTATTCCAGAACACTTAATTGTACTCATGAGGACTCTGTACATGGACCAAGAAGCAGTTGTTTGAGCAGAACTTGGAAACACTGAATGGTTTAAAATTTAAAACGGTGTACGCCAAGGTTGTATTCTTCGACCATACTTATTCAACCTGTATGCTGATCAAATAATCTGAGAAGCTGGGGTCTATGAAGAAAAACGTGGCATCAGAATTGGAGGAAAACTCATTAACAACCTGCAATATGCAGATGATACAACCTTGTTTGCTGAAAGTAAAGAGGACTTTAAACATTTACTGATGAAGATCAAAGAGTACAGCCTTAGGTATAGATTGGATCTTAATGTAAAGAAAACAAAAATCCTCACCACTGGACCAATAAATAACATTCTTATCAATGGAGAAAAGATTGAAGTTGTCAAAGACTTCATTCTTCCTGGATCAACTATCAACACTCACGAAAGCAGCAGTCAAGAAATCAAACAACATTTTGCATTAAACAAATCTGCTGTACAAGACCTTTTTAAAGTGTTTAAGAGCAAAGACTAAGGTGCACCTGACCCAAGCCATGGTATTTTCAATAACCTCGTATGCATGTGAAAGCTGGACAGTGAATAAGGAAGACCGTAGAAGAATTGATGGTTTTGAGTTATGGTGTTGGAAGAGAGTGTTGAAGGTGCCATGGGCTGCCAAAAGAACGAATAGATCTGTATTGGAAGAAGTGCAGCCAGAGTGCTCCTTGGAGGCTAAGATGGCCAAACTTTGTCTCTCATACTTCAGACATATTGTCAAGAGGGACCAGTCACTGGAGAAGGATATCATGTTTGGTAAGGTGGAAGGTCAGAGAAAAAGAGGAAGACCCCCAGCGAGATGGATAGGCCAAGTGGCAGCATCGATAGACTCAAGCATGGCAACAGTATCGGGCAGTGTTTCATTCAGCTGTGCATAAGGTCGCTATGGGTCGGTACCGCCTCAGTGGTACCCAACAACAACAACAACAAGTTCTGATTATTAGGCCATTGAGGCTAGGTCAAATGGGTACTTTTCTACAACTTTGCGTCTTCTTATGCACCTCCTCTCACATCATATCAGCTGGATGCTTCACTCTCAGCTATAGCCCTCTGTGGCTATGTCGTTTTCCATGGGCTCAGGTGTACCCAGGTCTCACCATATTTTGGACCAACCAGCCCTTCCTCTTCTCTTTCTCATAACACCTTAGCTTTTGACGGATTGTTCTTGTTTTATTAAGTCCTGTCCAGTTGGTTCTGACACATAGCAACCCTGTGTAGGGTTTCCAAGGAGTAACCAGTGAGCTTGAAGCACTGACCCTGTACACCAGGACTCCATTTTACAGATAGCACTTACTTATTTATATAAAGAAGGCCAAACAATTGCTGGATGCTAGGGTTGTATTGTGGTATTGTTTCCCCTTCAGGTACACATAACTCTAAAGGTTGTAACATCTGTAGCACATCTGTCCATCTGAAAAGCATTCAACAAGGTGTAGAGATCTCATCGTGAATACGAACTGTGAACAAGGAGCAGATTCTGTCTCAGATGTCCACAGTCCATGTTCACAGACCAAGTAGTCACTCATGGTACCATTTCAGGGTGCTGACAGTACCTACAGAAGGGGGCCTGTTTTCTAAGTTTGTTTTTTCACAGGCTGGAAAGGTTCTTTATAGTTTGGGAAACCTGATTGTGATTCCTTCTCCTCAGACAAGTCCTGTGGAGACCCGCCTTCATTCCCACACACCATCCTGCAGGGACGCACCGGCTTGGAAATGGGGGATGAGTTGCTGTACGTGTGTGCCCCAGGCCACGTCACAGGCCAGCGTGAGACTGCCTTCACCTTGTTGTGCAACAGCTGTGGGGAGTGGTACGGCCTGGTGCAGGCCTGCGGGAAAGGTAAGCCATCCCCAGTGACTGGGCCACCTCCATGTGCCCACACCTTGTAGGCAGAGCCGCTCCATTTGTATGGCTGCATATCATGGGTTCTCTATCACCTGCTTGTTTTGAAAAGAGACTTTCAGACATTTCCCTTGAGTTCTAGATGTGGTAACATCCCCACTTGGATGTTGTTGTGACATTGCAAATGAAGTGAGCTTCTCATCTTTTGTTCTCTTGGGAAAGGAGTAACAAAACCCTCTATCCTTCTCTAAGAACAAATCTGACCTTGGATTAACTTTCTAAAGCTGTTTCTCTAGAAACCTGGTAAAGATGGAGTATCAGCTCTAGTACCAGGTGACATTGTTTATGGTAAAAAGGATCCCTGACTCACAAGCTGGACTGGGAGGACTGTAAATGAACTCTGAATACTTGATCAGAAGCCCAACTTTGACCTTCCTTGAATGTGATGATTCTTGTGATTGGTTTTGACCTTCACGGGGCTGTGAAAGCTATGCATATGTGTGGTTACAAGCTATATTGGCTTTTGTAGAGCGCAGGGCTTCCAGGCCAGGGAGATGGGGGCACCCATCCAGGCCAATCCTGCTCCCTTGCACACAAGCACTCATCTGGGGGGCGAGGTTGGGGGAAGTGGGAAGCCTGGAAATAACTCCAGCATAGCCATCTGGACACTTGGAGGACTCTTCCTTCTGAAGAGCACGGCTGCCTCTGTCCTGCTTTGCTGGGTGTTCTGGTCTGTAGGCATCTGAGTACTACCTGTGTCTGTAACAGTCGTGTGAATCTGGTTGGTTGAGATTAAAAAGACTCTTGGTGGACTTCAAGTGCCTAAAAACTGATTGAGTTCCAGTAGACATGCCCTTTCTGAGAAAGATGAGGCTTTCTGCTCTCATAAATATTTACAGCCTCGGAAACCCTGTACAGGGTCACTATGAGTTGGAACTGACTCCACGGTACATAACAGCAACAGTATCGTCATCATATTCCTAAGAGTCCCAGGTTTTTGTAGTTGCCCCCTATCCAGTTCACTGGAAGTTTTCCCATTAGTTCCCCCATCCTGAATGTCGCGGAAAAGTGCCCAGTCAGGGACTCTGGCTCCTGACTCCTACAGCTCAGACCTCATGCCTGACTCTGAGTTGGTCCCTGATCTCACAGGATTCCTCTCACCTAGAAACATTTAGCAACTCTTCCTTTACCTACCACGGCACCTTGGTACCAAGCAAAGGTTCTATAGACATAAATGACTCCAACACTTTGATGTAACTGAATTTATAAGAGAGTCTGCCCCTGAAACAGCCTGCAGATCCCATGGGAGAACCTTGAATCTGTCTTGTCTCACAGATTCATCTACATTGTTGCCTGAAGCTGTGGTTTTGTTCTTCTGCACTGCTGTTGGCTACCCACAGTATGAACACACCATCATGTGTTTATCCAGTTAACTTTCAGTCGACATTTGACTGGTTTGCATTTTGTGGCTCTCACATATTACATTGTGGAGCTGTAGGATAAGCACTGGACTGGTAACCGCAAGGTCAGCAGTTCAAAACCACCAGCCACTCTCGGAAACCCTTTACAGAGTCATTGTGAGTCAGAACTGACTCGATGGCACACAACAACAACACATTACATGACTAGACTTTTTCTCATCTGTGTCATTTGGTTCACACACAAACATATTTCTATTATGTGAAATGGATGCTCATGGATAATGTATATGTTCAGCTTCAGTGGATGCCAACAAAGTGTTGTCTAAAGTATGTTCTTCAGTTTATTCTCCCACTAACACTAGTCTGTCCGTTTGTCATACTGTGGTGACTTACATATTGCTGTGATATTGGAAGCCATGCCACCAGTATCTCAGACACCAGCAGGAACATTCATGGCAGAAAGCTTTCACTGGAAACCCTGTATAGGGTTTCCGAGAAGTATCTGATGGGTTTCAATAGCCCACCTTGCAATTCAAACCAACCTTGAAGTCCAGTGCTTATCTTACACCAGCACACCAGGACTCCTTTAAAGAGGTCTTTTACAGGCAGTTTGCCTAGTGCCATGTGTTGTTTGATTTCTTGACTGCCGTTCCCTTGGCAGAAGCCCTGGTGGCGCTGTAGGATAAGCACTGGACTGCTAACCACAAGATGGACAGTTCAAACCCACCAGCTGCTCCATGGGAGAAAGATGAGGCTTTCTGCTCCCATGAAAATTAACATCTTTAGAAACCCTATACTGGGCTACTCTGAGTTGTAATCAGTTCAATGGTATAGGGTTTGGGTTTTGGTCTGGGTTCCTCTAGGCATGATTTTGTTTTGTTTGTTTAGATGTTTTATTATAAATTATGTGATGGTTTACATGGGAGAACATTGTTTTACATTCATTCTGTCATATATCGTTTCATTGCCATGGTTACAATCCCCTCCATGCATCATCAACCAACCAAAGGGTATACCCTGCAAGCCTGCCCCCCACACCCCCTCTCCCCTGGTTGTCAGCACACAGCTCCTCTCCCTCTCTCGATCTAAAGTCCCCAGCTGCTCCATCTCTCCATGTCATCTTCTCTGCTTCCATCTCAGGCATCACTGCTTCTCTAGGCAATTTTTGTGGATAAAATGTGATAAATGAAAACTCAGATTTTTTTCTCCATTTATCATGAGGCTGCTTATTGGTCCAATTGTCAGGATTTTTGTTTTATATTAATGGGTAAATCCATACTGAAGGCTATATAGTCTTTGTATCAGTAAGTGCGTCAAGTCCTCTTCACTTTCAACACGCAAGTTTGTGTTCTCTGTATAGTGCAGGCTGATTAAGTATGTAAAAGGATACAACTCTGATGTGTACCTTTCCTGATTTTAAACCTGTAAAAGCTTCTTGTTCTGTTCAAATGACAGGTTGTTAGTCTATGTACAGTCTCTTCATGAGCACAATTTTGTGTTCTGGAACTCCTGTTTTTCACAGTGTTGCCCATAATTTCTTATGATCTACACAGCGGAATGCCTTTGCATAGTCAGTAAAACACAGGTGAGAATTTTTCTGGTATTCTCAGCTTTCAGCTAAGATTCATCGGGTATCAGCAGTGATATCCTTTGTTCCTTGTCCTCTTCTGAGTCCAGCTTGAATTTCTGGCAGTTCCCTTGTGATGTAGTGCTGCAACAATTTTCCAGTGATGTTCAGTAAAACTTAACTTGTGTGTGATATTAATGATATTGTTTTATAATTTCTGCATTCTGTTGGATCCCCTTTCTTTGGAATAGACACAAATATGGATCCTCTTCCATTTGGTCCAGGAATGCAAGATACTAATATTAAAGGAGTGTCAGAAACTGTCATATATTGCTGTGGAAGTTAAAGCTGGAAAATAATTTGTTTTTGTAAAGTTGAAGTTACGCATATCTGATTGACTATATGAATTCCACTCCTAGATACGCTGATGCATGTCCTTGAGTAAGTTCTAACTCATAAAGATGCTGCGTAGGGTTTCCGAGGCTATAAATCTTAATGAGAGCAGAAAGCCTTTTCTTGTTCCTACAGAGCAGCTGGTGGATTTGAATTGTTGATCTTTCAACTAGCTGCCCAACATGTAACCCACTACACCAGGAGGGCTTCTTATTCCTAGAGACATACAATATAACGTGTGCTTATGTGCATTAGGAATACAAGATTGCTCATGGTGGTTTGATTGTAGCTACTGCAAACTGAAAACAACCCAAAAATGCAGAAAGAATCAATCAGTGAATTTTGATATGTTTATTGAGGAAGCTAAACTACAAAAATTAATTAACTATACCCAGACAGAGCATTGAGGATCCTTGGTAATGCAGTGGTTGAAATGCTCACCTGCTAACCAATCAGTGAGCAGTTACAAACCACTCATCATTCCATGGGAAAAATATGTGGCAGTCTGCTTCCATAAAGATTTACAGCCTTGGAAACCCTATCTGTAGTGTAGTTCTACTCTGTCCTATAGTCATGAGTTGGAATTGACTCAGAGGCAGTGGGTTTTTGGATTAAAACATTATAGATTATTGAAAGAAACAGACACAACAAAATATACTATGTAACTATATAAAGTTCTAAAACATATTTAAAATAATTGACGAAACTATTAAAAGTGAGAGAGTAAAGCCCACTAAAATCAGAATGTTTAGTTCTAAAGGGATTTGTTGTTACTTGGAAATGGGCACAAAGGGGGCTTCTGGAATGCTAGAAGTGTTTGTTCTTGGCATTTGTAGTGGTTATACTAATATTTGTTTTGCTTCAGGCCATCTAATGCCTATTTATGTTTTAGACATATTTCAGTATGTTGTTAAGTGCCCATGAGTTGCTTCCAACTCATAGCGACCCTGTATAGGGCTTCCAGTGAACGACTGGTGACTTTGAACCGCCGACCCTGTCTGTCAAACTGACCTTGCGGTTCAATGCCTTATCCCACAGTGCCACACCAGGACTCCCAACACTAATATTTGTTTTGCATCAGGCCATTAAGTGTCTATTTATGTTCTAGGCATTTTTCAGTATGCTAGTTATACTTTACAGTTTGAAAAAGAGCAAGAATGGAATGGAAGGATGTGGAAACTCTAATAATAGACTGTATTTTCAAATAGTTTTGCTATGAAGTGCAGCAGGGCAGGGAGGTGGTAGCACGGGAGAGTCCTCTCCTCCTCTCCTTTTCTGTGGTTCTGCAATTTAGGAGTCCTCTGCTCAGCGATTCCTCATTTCTCCTCTGCTGCTCTTGCTTTGTGGCAGGCAGGAGCTGCTTGCCAGTCATATCATTCACCTGGCCCAGAAAATCAGGACTAAGACCTGAGCTTCCTGATGGTTGGATGTGTCACTTTGAGGCACGCCCATACTAACCCTGAGATGGTGAGTGAACTGGCCTCATTTCTAATGAAGAGCTGAAGTTGAACCATCCCATGAAGCCACACCCACCAGTCAAATGGTTAGTGTACTGGCCCTGGTAGAATGAGAACTAAATGCAGGTTTTGTGTGTCTGAAATCGTGTTTATTTTCTC